CCGCTCCGTGCGGTGCCTTCGCTCGGGGAGCCGCCCGTGACGTGGGCACGGGCCTCTCCGGTTCGAGAGGTGCTGTGGGTGCAGCACAAACCCTTGCTGTGGAACGGGCTTGCCCGGCTCCTGGACCTCTTGGAATGATGGGCCCCAAGTTGCTAATGGTTTATGGAGTTTCCTCCAGGTCCTTCCTTTCTGCCGATGCTTTCCACCATCCCAGGCGGGTGGTGCCTACGGTGCTGGCAGGGCAGGGAGCGTGGCCGGACGCCTGCTCAGAGCTGAGCAGCCTCCCGGGCCATGCGGGGAAGGTCCCTCCTGCCCCAGCACAACTGGCTCGTGGTCTGCGAGGGTTTCTGGCCGCCCGCAGTGTGGCAGACCTGGCACCGTCCGCGTGGTCCCTCGCTGCTCCTCCGAGGGCAGGGGAATCCCCGGGGCCCGCTGCCCTTTCCCAAGGCCCTTGGGCTGCTGCTGGAGCCGGTGCAGCCCCGGCAGCTCTCGTGACCCCGCGCCCGGGAGTGCGTAGTGTTAATGCAGCGCTGAGCCCGGGATGAGGCTCTGCAGGGGCACAGCTTAACCTTTGCTCCGGGAGACTTTGGAATCCTGCAGTGATCTCCCGCAGAAATAGCGATACAGCCTGGCAAAGGCGACGGGCGCCGACTCCGTCCTTATCTCAGCTTCTGTGCGCAGAGCGTGGCCGCGCCAGCGACGCGGCGCAGAGCCACGGCGGGAAAACGCTCCCTTGGCACGAGGGGCGCCCTGGGCGGGCTGCCCCCGCTGCGCCGGGACGTTTTTTGCCCCGGTGAGTCAGAGGGCCGCGAATATCTTGCCGTGGGTGGCTGCAATTATGCAAACTGCCCGGCCGGCAGCGCCCGCGCCGCGCTGCGGGTTGCTGAATTGCACGGTCCTGCAGCAGCTCGACAGCGCTGAATGTGCAGCAGGAACGCGAAGGGACTCACCCTGAAACACAAGCCACGCAAGCGGCAGTGTTCCCAAGCTGTTCCGCTCTGCTGTGGACGGTTTCCCCAAAGGCTGGAATTCTCTCTGGTACCTTGGTGACTGTGTTTTGTACCTGGCTTTGTGCCAGCAGTGCCAGTGTTAGCCAGGGAGCAGCGGGAGCTGTTAGATGAGTCAAACGCTGCTCATCCCGGGCCCTGTACCCTGAGCCTGGCAGTGAAATAGCCGTGTGCTGCCTGGTCCATCCAAGTGACAGGAGGGTCCATCCCCATGGCCCGGGCAACGTTCAGCACTTCACCTAGCTGCTTAAAAAGCCACCAGCTGCCACCAGGGACCGCAGTGCGTAGCGCTGGCTCTGGAGCCCACAGGCCCTGCCTGCCTGGGAGACAGGACTTGTCACCTCTCTGTTCTCTGTTACCTCGGGCACAAAACTAACAGCTCGGTCTCGCGACTCTTGCAGAACGCGCAGGAATCCCATGGGGTGGCTGTGCCGACGCCGTCTGTGCCCGATGATTTTGACGAAAAAGCAGCTCTGGGTAAGAGATCTTCCTGCTAAGCCCATGGAGGTGCTAAGTGTTAGCAAGGCCAAGCCCTTGGGATGCTCTTCAAAGCGACTGCACTTGTGCTCGCCCCTGGAGCATAGTCTGATCCCAAGATTTTGTTGCTAAAACTAAGCTCTGTTAACAGTCTCCATATCTGATAACTTTTCAAGCCACTGGAAGCTCTTGCGGCAGCTAAGTGAGCTCTGGAGCGCTGCCGAGTTCCGTAACGTGGCATCCCAGGGGGCGGCCGCGCCGCGGCGGGTGCGGAGGGTGACGTTGCCGCTGTGCTCCGCTCCCTTTCAGGCTCCCAGGTGAACGGAGGCTGCCGGCTCTACGGCTCGGCCGGAGACC